TTTAGAGTGATTTGTATACCTAGTGAGACTCCTTTGGAAAAAACTAAATTTTCCATTTTCAAGTGTTTTCCTTTGGAGATTCTTCTGGGTTAGGGATGGCAGCTTGTGTTTACTTTCCCTGTCAGTACTGGGACCCCATTGGGCTGAGACCTGTGCAGGCCTGTTCATGCTGCTACAATCTCTGTGTGGTTATATGTTCATCATTCCTGTGATGTTTAGAAGGTTCTCTATTCCTGACAACTCTTATATTCTTTCCTTCTCTCTTCCTCTGGTTTCTCTGAGCTTCAAGGGATGGGAATTGATGGAGACCCCCCACACAGGATTCAGTGTTCCATGGTTTCTCACTCTTTGATCTTTGTCTAACAGTAGGTATATTTATCATCATTTATTGCAGAAAGAAACTTTTTCAATGATGGCTGGGTGAGGCACTGATTTATGAGTATAACACAATGTTATTAAAGGTCATTTTATTACAATGTTCCTTTAGCAAAATAATAGTATTTGGTTTGCCATTGGGTCTGGCCTATCTAATTTCAGGTTCTTGGCCACTCATGTGGTATCAGGGGTGGGTTTCAGTGAGTCCTAAATTCAACCAGATATTGGTAGTTATCCTCACAAAATTTGTTCCACTATTTTAGTAGCATATTTTGCATGCAGATCAGCATCGTAGACTAAAAAGCTTGTAGCTGGTTTGGTGTTTATCTTTCCACTTTGTTAGTGTGCTGAGTATCTCCAACTACTGTGAACACTAGTCATTAGGAAGGAAGGCTGTAGGTAGGCAGCAGCTTAAATTCTCCAAATTCAGTAAGTTGTGTAGATGTTGTGTTCAGTAATAGACCTCACTATTTGCTTGTGGAGAGCAACCTATAGCCTTGGCAATAGCCTGGGTTCCTTGTGAGTTCTTATGGGGCCCTTTTGGCCAAAAATGTGATTATATGTAACTTATTCCTGGTACTGGAGGCTTCATTTGATGATGAGAGATCTCTGGTTGGGGTTCTATTTTCCATGTTATTTGGTAATTTCGTTTAGATCACCTTCATATATGTGTATACTTTAGAACAGGGAATACCCACAGCCAATCTGTACTGGGGGTGGCAGGCACAGCCATGAAGGAGAGCCATGGCTCCTGCCTTGACTGTCCTCATGTAATGGAAGACATTACACAAGTCATTACCAAAGGTGTGACTGATATGTAAAGAAAATCACAGGCAGTATCAAAGCCTGAAGCATGAGGACATGGCCTGAGAAAAGACTCTTTAGGCTAGGGTCTGGAGAAGGAGAAAATAAAATAAAACAAAACAAAACAAAATAAAATAAAATAAAATAAAATAAAATAAAATAAAAAATAAAATAAAATATAATAAAATAAAATAGGGAGAGTAAGGGTTAGTGAAAGAGGAGGAGGAGACCTTAAAGGCAACAACATATTAATCCATGTTAGTATGGAGAGGTCTCTCGTTTCAAGCCACACCAGCTCATATAGTGCTTTTATATGTAAAAGTTCTCTCTGTTGACCCCAAGTGCTTAGATGCCCCACCATGATCCTATAGCATGGGTCCTATGATGACACATCTTTTCTTACAGGGCAAGATTTTATAAAATGCAATACTAAACCATATGGGTCACTTTTCCCGATATTTAGATAACCGATAAAATATAAGTTGAAATTATTTGTATTGCCAGAAGATTATAGGTTATTTATGTTTGCTGTCTGGATAAAGATCATAGAATAGTCAGTGGCGTACAATGGGGAAAATGTTGCTTTCTTATGGTAAATATAAGTCATGTATTATGACTCTTCACTTTTGAAACTGTAATTCTAAGTAGGATATGTCCTTTGTTGGTTTGTTCATTTTTTTTTCTACCAAAAAGGAAGTGACTCTTAGATGTCTCTAGTCTTTGATGAAATACAAGAAAGCCAGGCAGACAGAGACAAGAAAAATACAGAAGCAGAGAACAGTCTAGAGATGGACAAGAGGGAAATTCTGGCATAAATGATATGGGCATCATGACTAGGAGAAAGGGAGAGATGTTTGAGACACAAATCTGGAAATCTATACAGGAATCAAAGAATGAAAAATTATCATCTTATTTTGTTATATATAGAGAAAGAACACGAAGCTGGGTGGTAGGGAGGTGGGAAGGACTTGAGAGAGTCTGGGGTAGGGGAAATAAAATATGAAAAACCTTGAATTAAAATGTAATAATCTTGGGGCTGGAAAGATGGCTCAAATGTTGACAGCACTAACTGTTTTCCCAGAGGACCTGTGTTCAACTCCTAGCAACCTCATGGTAGCTCACAACTGTCTGTAGTCCAGCTCCAAGTGATTTGACACCCTCACACAGACACACATGCTGACAAAACACCAATGCACATAAAATAAAAATAAATCAATCATTAAAAATTATTTTCAGGCCGGGGAGTGGTGGCACACGCCTTTAATCCCAGCACTTTGGAGGCAGAGGCAGGTGGATTTCTGAGTTTGAGGCCAACCTGGTCGACACAGTGTGTTCCAGGACAGCCAGGGCTCCACAGAGAAATCCTGTCAAACACACACAAAAAATATTTTCATAGCTATGAGTAATATGCTTACATCATGAAGTTTTAAAGTGTGGAATATGAGTATGTTACGAAATTTCTAAACCAAAAAAAGAAAGAAAGACAGAAAGAAAGAAAGAAAGAAAGAAAGAAAGAAAGAAAGAAAGGAAGGAAGGAAGGAAGGAAGGAAGGAAGGAAGGAAGGAAGGAAGGAAGGAAGGAAGAAAACCATTTCTCAACTGTCTCCTGGTCTAACTATAATGATTAAGTTTTTGGGCAATCTGATCAAGCTTTTCTCCCTAATACCAAAGGCAATGGCTGCTTCCCAATCTATCCACTAAAAGTCTACAAGTTACACTTAAACACCTTGACATAAATCAAGTTTCATTATAAGAAGTAGTTGAGGTCATGGATCAGATGTGCAAAGCTGGAGCCCTGTGATCTCTTCTGCTATGAGTGCATCAAACTCTTCTATACCAACTTGATGCTTTATGTTGATGACAAGGGAGAACTGATGAGGCTTTGACCTAAAACAAATGGGAGCTCAGGAAAGAGATCCAACCAAAGGCAACCAGTGCACTGGACAGGAAGTATTTAGTTTAAGAGAAATCTCAAGAAAATCTGGATTCATATCTATCTTTTTGTTCATTTTTATTAGTTGAGAACTCCATACATGCATATTAACTGCTTTGATCAAAATCATTCCCCACATCCTTCTCATTCATCCCCTATCCCCACATATCTATTCCCTCCTAAATTCATGTGTTCATTTTTAAAGCCCAGCGAGTCCACTTAGTGCTACCTATATGTGTGTGTGGGTGTTTGGCATAGGTAGCCTCTCAGGGACCACATATCTGAAGAAAGATGACTCTCCTCCCAGAAGCCATGGATTGCCAACAGATCTCCAACTAGGGATGGCACTTCATGACTCCTTCCCCACATGTGCTTGAACTTTGAGCTTACAATTCTTTGATATTTTTCTCCTAAAAAATATTTATGATTTCTAAACATAGAACTATAAAATTGTGAGTAGGAAAAAAATCTATTTTTATGTATGCAAGCATAATCTGTGGGTATTCCACCCACAGATAACTAACCAAGAGCAAATAAACAAGAGGGAGAGCCAAGGCCTCTCTGCAGGAGTGAGAAGTAACCACTACAGGGCTCCAGATCCTACAGAGAGGTGATGTGTTCAAGGTTAGGATTTGATTTGGTCTCTTCGATAACCCATTAATTTCAGCATTATCTTCCTATTCACCTCTTCCTCCTATCATGATTAAGAATATCACCAGTTTGGGAAATAAAATTCTTTGGTTTAAATATTTTCCCAAAGCTGGATTCCCCTCAAGACAGATGAATCTATGGTAAGGTAAAGAGAAGATCAGTTGCTGAAAACATTTGGAGATTCAATTTTATATTTAGTCAAAATTCAATAATTAACATAGGAGAGCAACTAAAGGTCATTGAACTTTCATCTATCTTTTGGGCAAATTTTTGTTAACTTTATAACTCTGTTGAGGATAAGATCCACAGTCTATCACTGTATGGACATCTGTAAAATCTGACACTTTGTCTTCCAGAGTGAGTATAGAAGTTGTTTAGTATCCATGGCATTTTCTCCTGTATGATGAGAAGATATTAACCTGATGGAAGTCCACCCATGTAACTCAGACAAAATGCTCTACACAAGTCTTAGGACAACACACTGATGGTTCCTTCAGTGTCAGGAGAGTTTAGTGATTTCTTAGTGTTTTTCATGTGCAAAGCATCCTCCAAGGGATACTGGTGGTATCTGAGGAAATGGTCCCTGAGTTTGGGATGTGTTGATGACGTGTGGAAAGGGACATTCATCAGGTTCATTGTCACAAGTAACTTTCTCAAGAAAGCATGGAATGATATTTAAAACAACCCAAAATATAGTTTAAAGTCAAACAGTGCAGAAAAATAGTTAAGGCAGTGAGTGTCTCAAGCCAGAACACAGTGAAGCTAGTACTGTGGTCCTCCCTTATCCCACCCATTTTACCCCATCCTAATGCCTTTATCCAACCCCAGCCGCCTCCAAGGCCCCTGCTACTCCATCCCCATGTACATCTTCAGGGGGTGATCTTCCCAGGAAGGATAGCAGGCCAGATCTTTAGCCACCTCCTTCTGGATAGGCCAGCCCCAGGCTTCAAAGAAAGGAACCAGGTTCTTCTGCACTTTTTCAGAGAACAACTTCAGCCATATGTTCATCTTGCTCTCGTTGTCTTCAGGGATGTGAGAAATGGTTTGGTATTCAGCAAAAAGACTGATGAATGGCTCCCACCCAAAGGCCTCCTGGAGCTGGAAAGAGAAAGAAAGGGAAGAATGTGGTATTGAATTTGCAAAAGTGACTGTTGTCCCAAATTTGCTGTCACAGGTATATCTGACTATCAGTGATTACTTCCTACCATCAGCTTCAAATTCATTGTTTGCCCCACCCCTGGGCCTGTCTCCAAATAAATGCTATCTCACTGGATTCTGATAGTGCCTAGCCATCAATCTCGTAAAGTTGTTCTCAGGAACACTAATGTATAAAAAAAGGTTAATAAATTACAGTGACTATTACTAGCCTTATTTTAAAAAATGTCTTACCCAGATCATAAGAGCTCTCCCCAGCCTGACTGAGTTAAGTTACTCATTGAGAAAATATCTCATTCACTTTACAAAAATCAGTGCAGGGGAAAATTAGAGGGTAGCAGCCTAAGAAGCTAAGGTTTGCTGTCAACTCCTGATTCTCAGCTCTAAATCTATCATTTAAGAGTTTCACTTTTGGACATGGTGGTTAAATTCTTTATGATTTATGAGCTCCTGTGACCAGTGAGTTATATAGACACTCTGCATAGGTTTGCAGTAGAAAGTCTACCAGGTCTGATAAGGACAGGAGCTTTGATGACTTGACATGTAAGTTGAAAGCACATCGTTGGGAGGCTGCAGAGAGAAATGCTTATCCTCAGGAAGGGAACTAATCTTGGGACATCATTGTTCTCCTATTGGTTGGTCATTATTTATTCAAACAATGCTTCTGCTTCTATTGGAGTAGTCAAAAGCCTAAGACGTTTGTAAGTAGATTTATTTCCTACAATAGGTATGTATAATGCAGATGCCCTGTAGATATATCCTTGTCATTATAAGAAGCTGTTAATAGTCACCCGTAATATAATAAAGCAATGGTAATTCCTGAACAGTTATTGAGAGATGACAGATGATGCCAGTGAGAGCCAGACTGGTGACAGTCTCAGTGATAGCTGATGCAGAGCCTTCCCTCTACATCAAAGTCAGGACTGCCCAGATGCACATGCTATGCAATTTCTCAGAATACTCTCCACTTTCATGTATATTCCAAAATCTTGGATCAGGGAGTGGGATAGGTGTCACTCTGATCATACAAGTACATACTCTGAGAAGTAGCACCAGTGAGCCACACCCAGCAGTGGTGGTTGTGGTGGTCTTAGGTTTGTGGGAGTCCTGTTGGAGTTGGAAAACGCTCGGGGGGCAGGCTACTATATGACTGAGGAGTCTGCTATCACTATCTCCTTGAATTTGTGCTTAGTACCTGCAGATATGTCTCCAGTGCTGTCCAGACATTCCAGTCATTCAGGGGTGCTCCCTTCTGAAGGTGTGCTTTAATTCTCTTTTCTCTTTCTTCAGGTTTCAGTTCAGGGTGGGCCTGAGCCCTGGGAATCCCCAGGACTTTCTCATGAACGAAGACTGACCAGAGATTGCAGGTGGCCTCGGTGGTATGTGGGGGGAACTCCCAACCACTGCGTTGCTGATTGTGGCCCAGCTCATGGATGGGTCCCCACAGGCCCTTACTTCTTATGTTTGTCAAACTTATTAGCTCCTGCACGGACTCCTCTTGACACATGATGGGGTATCCTGAATGCATCCAGCCTGGGGATACAAAGAAAGAGACAGAACATGAGAACAGGGTCTGCTTCAACTTTCTTTTTCCACCCCTTTCCCAGCTGAGCTCCTACAACCCTGGTTATATCCAGTGATTCCAGAATATCTGAGCTGTTTGGAAAGCACATGGCTTTCCTCTAGTATTGACTCCTTCCCAGATTCTCCCATCTGAGCCTTGGCCTTGTCCTCACTCTGACCCTAAAGGGTGAGAAAATCCCTTACATAACTGTCCTTCTTGGAATTTGATGCTTTGTTTTCAAGAGTTTTCATTTCCATTTCAATGCCCTATGTCTGGACTAGAGAAGCTAGGGTAATCTCACTTTTCCCCCACAATTCTCATTGCTAACCAGATTTGCCTGGCATATGTAGAGATTGTTTTGTAGGTAAGAGTTTATCTTCCTTATATGAGACTCAGGACTCTGAATGTTTTCCCAACATTTATGTATCTTCTTGGCAAAGGCCTTGGTACTAGTACCTACCACAGAAATCTATATTCACCCTCCCCTTTCATTTTTCAATTCTGACTTATATCTGAAGAGAATAGTCCATTTTGAATATTCTTTTTGAGAAGATCTTCACAGACACTGGTGACCTCTCAGCACAGAGTTTCTGGAGGTGATTACTGACTTAGGTAACTGCATCATGGAAGATGTTAGTGATTTGCCTTTTATTTGTAACTGTTTTTCACTTCCATCATGGTCCATGATTTTATGCTTCCCCCTTGTACGTTAATAATGTAATCATGATTTACAACTCTTGTAAAGTAAAAAACAGATAAAGTAATAACAAAATGAACTTTGATCATGAGAACTCCCCTGAAGCACCCACCAGCTGATATCTGAACATCTGCAACAATTCTCTCAGGTATTTTGAAAGGGAAGGGCTGGGCTGCGAGCCTGGCCACAGCCCGCATAATCTCATCCCAGAGTTGGAGCAGAGGTTCTGGATCCTCCAGAATCTTGAGGCTTGCAGTTGGCACTGTCAGGATGACATTGTCTGTGGCCAGCTCTCCCCAGGGGCCTAGGTCCTTCTGGATGCAGCTTTTCCACTCCTCCAGTGATGTTTTACCTAGAAATACATAGCATGGAACAGTCACCCATTTCTGTTTGAGGAGAGAGGTGGGTGAATTTGCTATGAGGAGAGGGTTGGGAAGACAGACAGAGACAGAGAGAGGAATTACAGAAGAGGCATTGATATAACCTGCAATAGGCTGCGGGTAAAGGACAAGTCATTAGATCCCTCTGTTGTACCCAACATCTTCATAGACACAGGGTGATCCACCTCCTACCTGAAGACTAATGTTGACTAGTTCTGTTTTTGTTCTCTTTACTAATTCTTGTTATTAACAACCCTACAGTCACCGAGACACCCACAGCTCAATTTGTTCTCAATGCCCAGTGTACTCACCTAGCTTATAGTATGGAGCAGGCACTGCCTTCATGAAGGTAATAGATACAGGGCCAAGTTGACAGCCTTTGGGTACAATGATGTACAGGAGACCACCCCAGAGGCAGGAGACTGACTGTTGGGTTTTGTTCATACAGCACTGGTAAGTTACCACAGGGGCTCGAAACAGCTGTTTGGTCTGGCTAAGGTCATCAGTGTGACATCCAATCTGTACCTGGACAGACAATTTCATCACAAGAAGTCAAGTACAGCACTCAAGAAGCATGCAGGACTTTGTGAGGAGCTTGTAGAGGGTCGTGATTATATCTGAAATCCTAACGTCTCCCTTCTGTGAAGGATGCATACAATGTATAAAACTGTAGCACTGCAAAGCCTTCTGTACTTCCCAGTATGTTTAATTAATTTTTAGGAGTGTAAAACAGTCCAACAATGGATTTCCTTTTGATATGAGTGAGTGGGCTGATCACCAGGCATAGCTGATTAGGGACTCATGGAATCTCATTACCAGCCAGAATCCTGGAATCTTACATGAGACTTAAACAGTGGGTGGCTCTGATGTTTTAAGTGCGGCATTGCATCCCATTCTACTCTTTGTGAACAGATACATGTCCATCCAGATGCTACAGCATCAAGCCAGGAGGCAGAGAACTCATTCTCTCCTCTCAACCTTACCTGCTCTTTCTAGAGTCATGGGGTTGCCTTTTTGCCTTTGTCTGATTGAATAGATAAATGAGAGAGAGCCCCTAATAAGCTGGTGGTGATTGTGGATGCCTTGAATCTCAGCACTTGGGAGGCAGAGTTCGAGGTTAGCCTGATCTAAAGAACAAGGGCTGCACAGAGAAACCCTGTCTCAAATTAAAAATTCCTAATTGTAGTAGAAAGTGGTGCTCAGAACGAAAGGTGAAGAGGTAAAACTCAGGCCTCTGCTACGAGGAAAACTGGTGAGTGCTGGTCTATAAGGTCACTGATCTTCCTTATCTATCTGGTTGGTAAGATTGTCACACATGGAAATTAGGTTTAGGAAAGGGTTTGAGTCACTAGTAGCTTCAACTTTCTGCTGTTCCATCTAGAAGAGGGGCAGAATAAGCTTCCCCTGATTTCCTGCTGGACAAACTCAATAGGAGAGATATGAACACCTGTGTGGTGTGGAAGACACTTGCCTGTGCTTGGGGAGGTGCTGGTTCTGGATGGCTTGCCTTACCTTCAGGCCAGCAGAGGCAGTAGCTTCAGAGACAGAGATCTCTGTGCTTTGTCCTTTCAGGAGGTAGAGCCCAGTGCTCATCCAGACATCACTGTCACCTGACAGAGAAGTCATAAAGGAGACTGAGTTCTTTGTTCTTACATGGCTTGATTCTACTTGGAGCCTTCCACACATTCAACTTTCCTTCCATGAACTTCAAGTCATTCATCCATACTTCCTGGACCCATTCATCCCTGGCTTAACAAAGCACAACCCTGGCTCCCACTGTCTAAGAAAGACCTATTAAAGCATGGAGCTAGCCTTCCTGAGGACCAGAACCTGGAAGGAAGTTAGACAAATTCACCTTATCCCAGGCCAGGAATACTCTGGGCATTCTCTGCTCACTCCATACCTGGGTTGGTTCCATTGATCTCCACAGTAATGGGGTTTTCCGAGGAGCTGAGATTGGAGGAGCAGGTCTGAGTATCAAGGTTGTGAACTATCTCAGAGCAATCAGTTCCAGAATGTACCAGCTCTGTGGCTAGATGGAGTAGTGCAGCCTCACAGGAGTGACTGGACACTGGATTTTTCTTGCTCACAGCTGGGATGCCTGCCTGTCGAAGGATCTTCCTCAGGATCCGGCGCACAGATAAATAAGCAGGAACTCCCTGTGCAGGAATCTGAAGAAAGCCTGCCCCATCTACTCCCAACTTTCTCAAATACTTCTTTTCCAAGTTCCCACCTTTGTGGTTCAACATAGCCTGGAACTCAGATAGAGCCCTTCGAAAGTGGTAGTTCCTTATATCTATAGGAAGGAGAGGGAAACAGCCTGGGTCGATAGTCTGAGGCAAAATGCTGAGGCCGAAGGTGTTGAGGATGATATTCCCAGGGAAACTACCCAAAGCAGAGATGCCTGGGTTCTGCGAAGCCCACCACCAGGACTGACCACCAATGAGCAATCCTCCACCCTCTGCTACAAACTCCTGTATTTTCTTGGCATCCTGGTCACTATAAGCTACACAGCAGTAGACACCCATGTCATTGGTCAAATGGGGCTCCAGGCTGCATTTCAGGCCATGCTTCAACAATAGGGAATTCAGACTCTTGAGACTTTTGTTCACCCCAATAGTAGCTCTCTGGTCTCTGGACAGCCAACGTATAGCATTCAGCAAAAAGGGTTCCATCTTAGGAGCCCCGAGTATGGCCTCATGTGCAGCCAACACCACACGGCCACGACCATAGTGGGCAGCTGCTAGGAAGCAGCTAAGGAAGGAGTTATCGAGCCCCACAGGGAAGGCCAGGGAGCCGTGCACCAATAGTTGTGAGGGGACACCCCCAGTCCTGATGTCCAACATACAGATCCCATCCAGAAGTTGCTCCTGGTCATGCCTGAACTCCTCCCAACACCTGGGGAAAAGATGAGAGAGATGAAGAGGATGTAGTCAGCTAGTAGGCCACCCATTACAGCTCACTGAGTGAAGAAAAATGACATGGTTTGTATCAATCTTCTGTTTCTTACTCATACTCTTTTGGAATTTAATAATGTATGTCTTATCAGTCTAATGATTTTTTTTACCATCTCACAATTCATCACATATCATTGTTCATATTTGCTCTTGCTTAGCAACAAAGAAAACACTGGTGCTTCTTATACTTGAGGTTTTCATAGATTTGAAGAGAGAGCTAATGATTGTGTTCATATATACTAAAATCCACATTCTCCAAATGAAACTTTCCAAGAATTCTTGATTAGTCAGCCAAGTGAATATTATGTCTCAAGTTTCATGTCTTAAAAATTATTAAAGCATATAAACAAAGCTGTAAAACCCAACAGTCTGATAGAGCACTCCTACTATGCCTCTGCTGTTGTGGGTCTTCAGATTTAAGACCATAGAATTATCACACAAGTCTCCCCACAGGCTTGTTTAGAAATGAACAAGTCACAAATAAAAAAAAATTGTTTTTGCTTCTACTGATTTATATAGATAGCCATATATCTTTTAGAAATTTCACCTAGGGCAGATGAAATAGCTCAGAGGATAAATGTGCTTTTACCAGGACTGGTGACCTGAGTTTAGTACCTGGGATCCATGTAGTGGAAGGAAACAAGCAACTCCTGGAAGTCCTCTGACCATGGCATGTGTACCCACCCACACCCACATCCATGCATCTCTCTCTCTCTCTCTCTCTCTCTCTCTCTCTCTCTCTCTCTCTCCCACCTCTCTCTCACACACACACACATACACACACGAACATCACACAATCCTCTGTAAATAAGTGTAAAAAGAAATTTAAAATCCTTACTTAAATACGATAGGAGTATTTATTACTCTTTACTGAGATATGGTCAACATAAAAATAAATTCTTATAAGATTTTGTATTTCAGGAATAAAAAAACAATTTCTATAGGAGATGGATTAAATACACCATGCTAACCTTATAAACAAGTCAGTAGTTAGATAGTATTGGAAAGGCTTAATGGGATGTAGAAATTAGACCCCCAAGAGACTGAGTCAATTTCATAAAAATGCTAAAAATCCAGAAATTATAAAATATTGAATTTGTTTATGTTTGACTGCTTATCTGAATGTACACCTTCGAGCCAGAAGAGGGCATCAGATCCCATTATAGACAATTGTGAGCCACTGTGTAATTGCTGGGACATGGATGGTATGTACTCACTGATAAGTGGCTATTAGCCAAAATGTATAGAATACTCATGATACATCCCACAGACCCTAAGAAATTAGCAAGAAGGAAGGCCCAATTGGGGATGCCTAAATGCTACTTAGAAGGGGAAGCAAAAGAATCATAGGAGGCAGAGGGAGAGAGGGACATGGGTGGGAGAGGGGAAGGGGAGGGGAAAGGGGGAGCAGGATCAGTTATGTTGTGTGTTTGGGGGGAGACAGGAGAGAAACCAAGAGGGCCAGGAGAATGAATGGAAATATGGAGCTGTGGGGGTGAGGGGCTGGAGGGTGCATGGTAGAGGGAACCCCTAAGAAAGTCACAGAGACCTGGAATGGGGAGGCTCCCAGGACTCAATGTGGATGACCATAGCTGAAATGCCCAACACTGAACATATGGAAGCTGAAGAGACCACCTCCAGGAGTCAGACAAAACCTCCTGTGGAGGGATAGAGACATCAACCTACCTACAAAATCTTCAGCCCAAAATTGCTCCTGTCTAAAAGAAATGCAGGGAGAAAAACGGAGCAGAGACTGAAGGAATGGTGGACCAGTTATGGTCCCAACTTGCGAGTCATCCAATGGGCAGGCACCAATCCCTAACACTATTACTGATGCTATGTTGTTCTTACAGACAGGAGCCTAGCATGGGTGTCCTCTGAATGACTCTTCCAGTAGCTGACTGAGATGAATGCAGATACTTACAGCTAAGCATTGGACTGAAGTTGGTGACCCCAATATAAGAGTTAGGGGAAGGACTGAAGGAACTAAAGGGGTTGGAAACCCCAAAGGAAGACAAACAATCTCAACTATCTTGGGTCCCTGGGAGATCCCAGAGACTGAGCCACCAACCAAACAGCATACACGGGTTGGTTTGTGGACCTTGGCAGAAGAGAGCTGCCTAGTCTGGCCTAACTGGAAGAGGATGAGCCTAATTCTGTAGAGATGCAATGCCCCAGGTGAGGGTATACCTGGGGAGAAGGCACCCTCTCAGAGGTGAAGAGTGGGGAAAAAACTCTGTGAAGGAGGACCAGGAAGGGGGCAGCATTTGGGATATAAATGGATAAAATAGTTAATTATTAAAAAAACAAAGAAACCAACCAAACAAGCAAACAAAAAAATCCAAAACCAAAAATCAAAAAATGAAACAAAACAAAACAAAAACCCTGAAACATGATACAGACATTTTCCGAGGTGTATGATCTTGTAGGCTAGAGATGTTAGCAAGTGACCCAGTAATTATCATGGAGACAGTGCTGGGTGACATGTCCAGGAATTGGAGAAGTATGGTAAAGTGAAACTCTAAGATTGCTCTGTTTTAATAAGGCTGGGAGAGGGTTCCTGTGATCAGGGTGGTGGTGTTGAATTTGTATAAGGAGAATTTGCATCATAAGAGATGGAGGCCTATGTTAGAAAAAACAACTTGAAAGTCAAGTCTTCGAAATTAATTGCTTAGTTTTTTTTTTAAATAACCAGATTTCCAAACACCTAGCTATCTTAATTTCTTAATAAAACAAGACATTTAATGCCACATGTTGTGTTATTTGTATTGCTAGAGAGTGACAAATTATTTTAAAGATATGAATTGTGCCATGGAGTGATTACACTGTCCTCTTTTTTCCTCCCTCAAAGTACAAAACTGTGAAATTCTGCATATTCAACAAAAGGAAATAATTACATACTTATGGAAATTTAGGACCTTATATTGTGACTGAAAATTCTCATTAATGAGATTCTTTTCAAACATCAAATTATTTTAAAACAGAACGTAAAGTAAGAGCATGTAATGACTCTCACAATTGGATGCACAGTGTGGAAAGACGGATGTGACACTTTGTGAGTCACATTAATAAAATCTATGAACATTCCAGCACCTTAATTTTCGCATTGCTTTTCCTTTGTATTTTTTAAGTAATAAAAACTAGCAATGTGAAAAATTATTTTCACAACAGTCATCTCTGTCAAGGTTTAAATACCATTGCTGAGAATAATGTGTAGGATTTAACAGGTATTCAACAACCTATTATGAACTAAGTAAGAGGTACTGTTTACTGGAGAAAGGGAAAACTAAACACATTCATTTTTGTTGTTGTTGTTCCTGTCATTGCTCTGGGCATCAGTCAGCACAAATAATGCCCGATGAGGTCAAATAACTTGCTCATGAACTCAAAGCAAAGCAAAGTGAAACACTGGGACCCAGCTCCAAGCCTATCTGCCTGAAGCCCCATGACTTTAGTTACATCTTTCTTGGCTATAGCAGAAATACTGTCAACAGATCAAGAGCTAGATAGTAACATACTTGTAAATGTAGCCTTCCCATCCCAGCATAAAATTATGGAAGCCCAGAGTCCAAAACTAAAATTGTAATACTTGTTGATCGTTAAGAGCTAACCACTGAACTGATCATAGGGTTCCCAATGGAGGAGTGAGAGAGGAGACTGAAAGAGCTGAAAGGGTTTGTGGCCCCATGGGAGAGCAACAATACCAACCAACCAGAGCTCCCAGGGTCTAAACCACCAGCCTGGGAGCACATAGTGAGGGACTCATGGCTCCAGCTGTATATGTAGGGGAGTATGGCCTTGTCAGGCATAGGTGGGAGAGGAGATCCTTGGTCCCATGAAGGAGTGTGGGGGAACTCGAGTGTGGGGATGTGGGAATGGGGAGGGTAAGTGGGGGCACATCCTCATAGAATCAGGAGGAGGAAGGATGGAATAGGGGTTCCTGGTCGATGGGAAATGGGATAAGGGGATAACATCTGAAATGTAAATAAAATATCCCATTAAAAAAAGGGCAAAAAGGAAAAAAAGAAATGAATTAGAAAATAACATATATGTAAAGTTATTTGTTAAAGGGAATTTATTTTTGCTTGCACAAGAAAGCTGACTGAGATCTAAACATGTTTCACTTTTATTTTTTCTCTAAAATTATAAAACAGTGTCTAATGTCATTTTTTTATTTCTACAAAGTATTTGTTATTATATTGGACTTAATTTAATTAAAAATTAATGTATATTTTAATGTTTTTAATTAAAATTCAAACATTTTTATGGACATATGTAAAATATGAGTATATGTAAAATATATGGTTTTTATATTAACAGAAATTATAATGGGGCACAGAGCTGAACAAAGAATTCTCAACTGAGGAGGCTCAAATGGTCGAGAAGCACCTAAAGAAGTGTTCAGCATCCCTAGTCATCAGGGCAGTGCAAATGAAAACAACACTGAGATTCCACCTCATACCAGTCAGAATGGCTAAGATCAAAAACACAGGTTACAGCAGATGTTGGTGAGGATGTGGAGAAAAGAGGAACACTCCTCCATTGTTGGTGGGATTGTAAGCTGGTATAACCACTATGGAAAGCAGTCTGGCGATACCTCAGAAAATTGAACATAGTGTTACCCGAGGACCCAGCTATATTACTCCTGGGCATATACCCAAAAGATGTTTCAACATACAACAGGGACACATGCTCCACTGTGTTCATAGCAGCCTTATTTATAATAGCCAGAAGGTGGAAAGAACCCAGATGTCCTTCAACAGAAGAATGGATGCAGAAAATGTGGTACATTTATACAATGGAGTACTACTTATCTATTAAAAACAATGAGTTCGTAAAATTCTTAGGAAAATGGATGGAGCTGGAAAATATCATCCTGAGTGAGGTGACCCAATCTCAAAAGAACACACATGATATGCACTCACTGATAAGTGGATGTTA